TTGTCCAATCTTTCTGAGCAGTTAAAGAAGAGACCTCAGAATGAATAGGGAGAGCAGTAGAGTAGTGTTTATTACACTGAAGAGTGCTTCCAGACCATCGGCAGTGCCCCCGGAGAGATCAAATGATGTTGCAGAAAAGGAAGTCATTGCAAAAGTTTATTTAAAATATTTTAGGGAGTTGTTTGAATTGATCATTTTGATGTTATGCACTAGAGCAAGAACAAACACTGAAATTGGCAGCCTGTGAAAAACAATCCCATGATAACAACACTGCAAAAGTGAGCTGATGTGATTCCCCACAGTTTCACAGTAGTAGACACTGTGACTGGTTGGTTGGCACTGATTAGTTTATCATTATTGTTCTAAAGAGTAGTAAATTATGGGAGGAAATTAATAGAGATGTGCTAAGTATACCCTGTATACCTTTCCTTGGAATTGGAAAATAGCTAGCAATGTATGTAGTATGTTGCAATTTTACAGATTAAGGAAATATAAAAAAATACAAGTTGAAAACTTTCCTATGCTCACTCACTTTTTGGTAGGTGAACTTAGGTTTGAACTTCATTCTGCCTGATTTGTCAATCTGGAAATTTTTTTCTCCTTTGTCAATGACTATGTTTCTCACTATGAAATATAAGTATACAAGCCAATATATTTGATTCAATTTGAAAGCTTTATACTAGAAGAAACTAAAATACTTTTCATCTTAAGAGAATATCATATACAGGAAGAAATACGTTTAAAATCTCTAGCATCTTAAAAGCGCAATAACACTCTTTTGTTGTAAAACTAATATATGATGAAAAGCCATATCTGGAGCTTTTCTCAAAAACTTAACATGCCTGTAATCTTAGACAAATTGACTCTCAGAGCCTGATCTCCTCATTGGCAAAAGTTTCTAATAACTTTAGACTCTGTGAAATTTAAATTAAAGATATTTTGACACTGGATAGGGGCATAATGTGCTGTTCTTCAGTACTTAAATATAAGGCAATACTTTGAGAATAAAATAATAAAAATACACATAGAAGTAAAATTTATCATGGGAAGAATATTCTAATAAATAGGAGCTGAATGGTTGTGGGTATTTACTGGAAAATGCCAAATTCAATCAAGATGAAGACATTTCAGTTTGCATCCTTTATTTAAAATACAAAAACTTGACAGAGGGAAATCGTCCACATAATGATTTGAAGAGTTAGCAAAAGTGCTTAGCGTCGTAATTTTCAGGATAATCCATGAAAGCTGATCTGAGTGCTCTGGGCATGAGGCTGCACCTGTTACTGAAGAGTTAGGGAGAGTTTGGCGGGCTTGTTTATTCATTTCATCTTTAAGGAAATAGAAATCTAACCTTTACAGTCATTTTGTTTTATTTTATTCAAAGTAGAGAAATAAATATTGAGTAAGTTCAAGTTAAAAATAGGTAACATAGGGCTGGGGATACAGTTCAGTATCACAGTGCCTGTCTGGAAAGTCTGAGGTCCTGAGTTTGATTCCTGGTACAAAAAAACATAAAAGGTAATATGCTCTATGATTCTCCTATTAACAGCTTTATTAATATACTGAAGACTATATATATATTTAAAGTTATAATTTGATAGCTGTATCATTAGTTTAGCTGTCATGCACACTTGTTTTTCTATCAGTAATTTCTGTGAATTTACTGAGTTCTTTGGTCCAATAATTGGATTTCTAGAGTTGCAATACTGAGACTGAAGCCATAAATGAAGAAGTCAACCAATTTTTTTTTCTATTTCCAGATATTTCAACATAATGTTATTTAGTCTCCCTAGAAATGATTTTTGGTTCATTTTATTATAACTGCAACAGTGTGTAAAAACTGAATAAAACACTCTTCTAAAACCAGGTACACAGATGTGCAATAAATGTGATTCTCTTTCCTTCTATTGCAGTCATCTTTTCACAATTTCCTTTGGCCTTTTTTTATTGTTAACATCTATCCTTTTACAAAAAGTGCCTCCTTGGCCACATCTAGACAGAAAGTAGAACTCCATTGCCGTGAAAGGCTTCAAGCTTCAGTGACAAATCAATACGACATCTCTATGAAACAAGTATATCTGAACAGTATTTTCACAGAGGTCCTGACCAGTCCCATCTTTATGCAAGTTTGCGACCGATCCGACAAAAGTTTATATCTCAGCAAAGTTCTTCCAGGTCAAGGAATCCTGCTGAAGGCTTTGATACAAGCTAAGAACGACAAAAGATACATCTTTTGAAAATCTGAATACCTCATATTCACTAATAGAAAGAAATAAATTTCTGATTTGTGTTTTCATCATAGTGGCCCAAAGTGTTTGAATCACACATACAAACTCTGTTTTTTAAAAATTATTGCATTTTTATGTTTTCATGACTCCCTAGATTTGATATACATTCTATTTAAATACCGTAAGGCCAAAGAACTTATTCTCTAAACCTAGAATAGGCAAGCGTACTGCTTTACATGACTTTACCAATTACAGCTCCTTGCGAATAAATATTTCTACATTGGATAAAAAATGTCTGCTACGGTTTGTGTCTAGATATCTCCCCAAACCCTCATGTAGTCAGGGGGTGGGCTTCTAAAATTTGTGATTGATTCATGGTCAAGTGCAGGGATTATTGTGTGAGTACAACACCCATCTTGTTGCGGGGAGCCTGCATACAATACAAGGGAGGGAAAAAGGCTTGTTCTCATGCTCCTCCCTTTTTGCTCTTGCTGCTTTTGCTGTCTTCTCCTGCCATGAACTGTTGCCCTCTGCCACGTACCACTCTGCCTTGGAGCCAGCCGAGTATGGACTGAAACCTCCACGACTGTGAACTAAATAAACCTTTCTTTCTCTAACTTTGGGTGTTGGGTATTTCATCTCAGTAATAAGAGAAAAGTAAGTAGAATAATGGCTAAATTGATTTCAGCTGATAGACCAATTAGCTGACCTTAAGAGGACTGGGAAACATGAGATAAAGCTGAAACAAATGTGAAGCCTGATTTGAACATTGATAATGTCATTAAAGATGTATTATTAGTAGTCAAGTGAAGTGAAGCTACTCACCCTTCTCTGAAATTATTCATGGACTTACGTGCAGCCTTTGACTTAAACCTATCGTAAAACAAGGGGCCAAGGGTAGAGTTTGGTCATTTGTTGTGTATGGATCTCTAGTAAATATTAATTATGTTTGGAGGTGCTTTTAGACAAGAAGGAGAAATTAAAAGCAAAATAGATCCTCTCAGAAATTGTATACTTCATTTATTTATGCCTCATGAATTCATGATAGGAAAAAATTTAAGAAAATGTACAAAACAGTGTAAAGTATATGGGTTGTTGAGCTGAATATTTAACATTTATTTTATTGGGGTTTTAACAAAAGAGAAGCCAAATATATTGTCCTGTTTAAAACTTGACCTATTTATAAAAGTCTTTAGATTTATCCTGTGGCTTAAGGACTATTTTCATTTCTGTACATTATACCAGGTGATCAGTCATTTATTTAGTTAATACCTTTTAAGCCATTCCTACCTTATGTGGTAGAGTCACGTGTGCAGGGGTAAGATACAGAATTCTTGACTTTACACCTGGGTTGGAAAGGTTTAGGATAGTGGCCAGTCACATGTGCTTTTTTTCTTTTCAGTACCCAGGATTGAACTCACAACCTTGCGCTTGCCAGGCAGGCACTCATGCCGCTGAGCTATATCCCCAGCCCCTCATGTGTGCTTTTTAAATAGCACCATAGGAAATTCTGATTCCAAGGGCTAGTTTGCCATTCATGCACTTAGGTGTGTAGGAGGTGCCTACATATTACCAGGGCAGAGAATACTAATAATTGTCCACTGGAATTATTTTTTTCTTTCTGCTGAGCAAATAGGCTACATTTCTCAGCTTTCTTTACAGTTAAGTGAGGCCATGTGAGGAAAGTCCAGTCATCTCATCAGTCTGTGTCCTTAAGCACCCTGTGGGGCAAAGCCTCTTTACTAACAGGAAGATTTCCTATATGCAAATATCAGACTTCTACTGTGTTTGGCCATTATTTAAATTTGCCACTAGTTGTCATAATTAACCTACTCTAACAGATAATGCACAGTGCTGAGCAATGTATTTGCATAAGCATATTGGAGAAGGCATTGTTTCTGCTCCTTAGGTTCACAGCCTAAGAGTAGAATACATAGATAAATCATGACAGTATAATGTGCAAAACTCTTTCACAATGTAAAAAAGGCAGATGAACAATCTGCTTCTCCTAGAGAGAGAGCTGGTTGGTCAACAGAGTGAGGGTGCTGTAAAGAAGAGGAACCTTTGGAATGTCACCCAGAGAATGAGTAGGAATTTGCTAGCTAGGCAAGACACTTTGGGCAAAGTGTTCAGAGCCTTCAGGGGCATCAGTTAAATAAGCAAGACTCTGGACACAGTAACAAGGGCTAGTGACTAGAAATAGGCCATATGGTGACCTTTGTACCATGCTGGGAAGGTTGGAATTTATTGTAAAAGCTATTTGGAGATACCAGTATTGAAAGAAGATTCAAGTTAACTCTGGTTTGATAACCACCACTTTCCCGGAAGAAGAGAGAATGAAGATGGGGATCAGGATTAGGCAATTTTAAAAGACTGTCTGGAAATAAATGATGGCATTGGGACATTATCAATGGGAAGAGAGGGGCTGGGGATTTAGCTCAGTGGCAAAAGCGCCTGCCTGGCAAGCGCAAGGTCGTGAGTTTGGTTCCCGGTACCGGAAAAACAACAAAAACAAAAAAAACAAACAAACAATGGGAAGAGAGAAGAAGCTGCAAAGGATTTTAGCCAAAGATAAGAAAGTATTTGGTAAGGAATTTACTGTCTGCACAGTGAGAAAGTTGGTAAAATTGCTTACCTCTGGCTTTGCCAAGTGAGCCAACATTGGTGAATTCACCAAGCAAGGGAAACTGACAATAAAAATGAAAATAAAAGCGGCACTGTTCTATCAGATATATATATGTATATATTAACCTATGGAAATCTCATACCTACCTTGTGAAATCCTATTCTTTCTCCATCTTGCCAATATAGTCACTGAGGTGCAAAGAAGTTCAAAACTTGCTTAAAGTGATAATAAGCTGGGAGACGACGGAGCCGGTGTGGACAGAATCAAGCACCAGAACCAAGCTCTCAATCATTGCGCTGCAGAGCCTGCCACGAGAATTGAAAAGACTGAAGTCAGTTTTGGATATGTTGACTGGGAAATGTCTGTGAGTCATTCAGCTGAGAATTTGTAACGAGTTTAAATATAGCTGCATGTTTTGTGAAAGAGGAGATTTAAGCACAGTTGATGATACAGAAACAGATGAAGTTTCACAGTGAAGGAAACGTAATGAAGGAAGAAGAGGGGCTGCGAGTGGTGAATTAGTAAGCGCAAATATTTATGGACACAGCAAGGAAAGAATCAGTGGGAGTGAAAAGTGTCAGCACACCAACAATCATAAACCTAAATGCAGGAATCAAAAAAGGGCAGAATCTGATGTCTTGGAGAGTTCATGAAAGACGAATTGAAACAAATGCCAGATGTAGCAGAGACATGAAGGTACATAAGACTAAAAAGAAATCAGCAACAACTTGACCAGATTAATATTAATATGCAGGAATTGAATTCAGGGCAGAAAGAATTGAAAATTCATTTTGGATAGATTGAGAAAATGGAGGCAAAAAATAATCTATGACTTTTGAGGAGATAAAGCCTTCAGCAAAGGAGATCTCAGGAGGAGCAGACTTGAGACTGTTTTGAGTTGTTCTTTCGTAATTTACCAATCTCTCAATGTCATGAGTATTTCAAGGGTGTTGACATCAGTGTGTAGCATCTATTGCTTATGAAATCTTCTTCTCATACAGTCTCCAGGCAAAGATCTGCCAGTTGTGTTTTACTTAGTTCACTCTCCCTCTCCCTCTGCCTCTCTGTAGCTGTTCTCTGTCTCTGTCTTTCTCTCTCTCTCTCTCTCTCTCTCTCTCTCTCTCTCTCTAATTTTACTCTAATGCTCTTATGGTCTATAACAGAATTGGCTGTTGTCCTTAATTATTTCCCTTGTCTGGGAACATTCTGGATTTCCCCTAATTTAAGTTAACTTCTAGAGCTAAGAAATCACTTACTGGGAAGATTTTAAACTTAGTGGTCCATTATAAAGTCTTAATTTAAAAATGGAGACTGGGAATTGAAACAACTTGAAGTAATTAAAAAAAAATAGGTAAGTAGAAATTTAGTCTTAGTTGAAGAAAATTCTTACAACAACAAAAGTTGATTACTTTGTAGTACAATGAATATCAGAAATAATCAGTATATTGGTAATCAAATTAAGACTTTAGTATGTTACTTTATTTCTTAAGGATACTTGGCACAATATCTTACATTAATTTATATTAAAATGATAAAAATTTTATTATTGAAAGGCAGCATAGCTGAGCATGGTTGCACAGGTCTGTAATCCCAGCACTAGGGAGGCTGAGGCAGGAAGATTGTTCTGAGTTTGACGCCAGCCTGAACTGCATAGCGAGACCCTGTCCCAAAAAAAAGACAAAAAGAATAAATAAAGGCAGTACACTTTAAAATCAATCTTTGCAGATAATATTTCACTAAATATTTGCAGCCCAAATATATGACAACATATTACTTGAAAACTAATTTAAATTTCATTTGATATTATATGTTATTAAGATATAGCATTAAAATTAAGAGTTAAATTGATTTCAAACTAAGGAAAACAATGCTTTAAATTTGGCTTTCTTAAGAGTGGATGGATGCCTGAAGTAACAGTGATTGGGTTTTAGGATATTTTTTCCCACACAATGTATAAACTCATACTGGGCATGCAGTCACCTGATGACAATCCTAAAATTTTATGATAAAATGCAAACAGCTTTCTAGACAATTATTTAAGTATAAAAACTTTTTGTGTTTTGATGAACCTCAATGTCTATGCTCATAAAACTTGTATTGAAATTCATGTAACATGGATTAACAGCCAAGAACTAAGAATATACTTTAAAATCTTTATATTATGATGTGTAGTAGTACAGAGTGAATAAATTCACCATTGAGAGTTGGTACACACACATCAATCCTCTTTGCTTCCTCTTCCTCTCTTTTCCCTGGCCTGCACCTCCATCCCTCGATTCCTTTCCATGTGCAAAGGTCTACCTTCCAGCTTTGTCTATCTTTTATTCTCCTTTTCATTTATGCTTTGGATTTCTCAAATGTGAGAAACTATGTGATACTTAACCTTTGTGTCTGATTTCTTTCACTTATGGTAGCATTATGATCCCATGCATCCCTTTTCCTACAAACAACTCAAATTTATCCTTCTTATGGCTGAGTAGTGTTGTGTTCTGTTCTCTTTATATGCCTAATTTTCTTTACTCATTCTTTTGTCAGTGGCCATAAAGCTTGTTTCCCAGATTTAGCTACTGTGGGTTGTGGTGTTACGTACCCAAGTAAGCATGTATCACTGCAAGATGACATCTTTCACTCTCGGGAAGATATTTGAAAGGGGTACGTCTGGGTCCAGTGAAATTACTATTTTTAGTTTTTTGAGGAATCTTAGCATTGATATCCAAGGTGGCTACCTTAGTTTACATTCCCACCAGGAAAGTAGATGAGTTTCTTTACTCCACAACCTCACTGGCATTTTCTATTTTGGAAAATATTCCTGATGATAGCCATTGCTGTTGGAGTAAGACAAAGTTGCAATATTGTTTTGATTTCATTTTTCTAATAATCAAAGATGCTTAATATTTTTTCTTGTACTTATGTGCTATTTTCTCTTTTTCTGAGAAATATCGTTTTACTTTGATTACCCATTAGCAATTAGATTCTTTAATTTGAGGGTGTCTATATTTTTGAAGTCCTTAAATATTTCAGGTATTAGTCCTCTGTCCAAGAGTAGCTGAAAAGGCTTTGTCCCAGTCTCTAGGGTGTCTCTTCACTCTGTTGGCTCTGTACTTTCATGTGCAGAACATTTAAAACTTGGTTAATACCAGTTGTTGACTCAGGGTGTTATTTCTTATGCAACTGGTGTTCTGTTCAGAACGTCCTAGCCTACATCTTTGTCTTCAAGAGTTTTACCTATTGTATCATCCAACAGATTAGGCAATTCTGTTTTAATATAGAGGTATTTGATTCATTTTGATTGGACTTTAACACAACATGAGATGTACTGTTTAGATTCAGTTTTCCGTATATGGATGACCACATTTCCAAGCACCTTTGTGAATGAATCTGTCTGTTTTCCAGCATAATCCTTGGGTCCCTTTGCGAAAGATCGAATGGCTGAGTGTGCTGTGGCTTGTTTCTGCATCCTTTACTTCGTTCCACTGATCTTCATGTCACAGCACTGATCTTCATGCCAGTGCTGTGCAATCTTTATTACTGTAGATTTTTACTATAACTTGAAATCCTTTGCCAATCCTGCTTTGCTCTTACTGCTCAGGTTTGTGTTTGTTAATCTGGGCTGTTCTGATTTCATACAAATTTTAGGATTGCTTTTTATAGTTCTTTGAAGAATGCTATTGACATTTTGACTGGGACAGAATTGATTCTACAGTTTTGATAATATAGTTGTTTCTGCCTATCCAGAAACAGAAGCTAACTTTCCATTTTCTGATGTCCTCCTGGATTTCTCTTTTCAAAATATTATAGTCTTATTATAGAAGTCCTTTAGTTTCTTGTTTGGGTTAATTCTTAATTATTTAGTTTTTATGAGTGAAATTGTTTTCACAATTTCTTTCTCAGTGTGTTCATTATTAGGGTGCAGGATTTTTTATTGATTTTTGTCTGTTTGTTTGGTATCCTGCTATTTTGCTGAGTTTATTAGTCATAGCAGTCTTTTTGTGGAGTTTTGTGAGTCTTCTATGTAAAGGAACATGCCACCTGTGAAAGAGGACAGTTTGACATCTTCTGTGGTGTACAGACCATTTTATTTCTTTCTTTTCTTTGACTGCTTAAACTGAGATTTTGAGTATTATATTGAACAGGAGAGATGACAGTGGATACCTTTGTCTTATTTCTGATGTTAGAGAAAATGCTTTCAGTTTGTCCTCATTTATTATGATTTTTGCATAGGTTTGTTATAATGGCTTTTATCAGTTTGAGATAAGGTCTTCTACACCTATTTTCATTAGGGTGTTTATCATGAATGGATGTTGATTTCTGTCCAAGCCTTTTTCTGCAGCTATGGCAGTGATCATGTGACTTTTGACCTTTTATTTTAGTAATTCATTGCACTGATATATTCACATATGTGGAGCTGCCCTTGCATTCCATGAATGAAGCTTGGTCAGGTTGTACGATCCTTTAAATTTTTGTTGCATCATTTGTATCTTGATGAAGATTTTTGCTTCTGTGTTCCTTAAGGAGATTCACCTGTAGTTTTCTTTTTTTTAAAAAAAGCCTTGTCTGGTTTTGTTATCAGGGTATTCCTAGCTTCAAGGAATAGGTTGGCAGTATTTCTTCTCCTTCAATTTCATTGAAGAGCTTGAGGAATACTCAATATTACAACATAGTACTGTACATTTGCTGAAGTTCTGGAAGAGCTCTGTGGTGAATTCACTAGGTTCCAGGCTTCTCTTTGTTGTTAGATTTTTTTGTGACTGCCTCTATTGCTTTGCCTGTTATTGGTCAGAGTTTTACATCCTCTCAGTTTAATTTTAATACTTCTTGTGCATCTAAAAATTTCTCCATTCCTAGTAGCTTCTAAATTTATTTGGATTTTAACTCTTGAAAGTAGTTTCTTACAGTATCTAGATTTACCTTGAGATTTACTTGGGATTGATCAATTTTTTAAAATCTGTGCCTTCAGGGCTATAAGCTTACCTTTTGGAATTCCTTTCATTGTGTCCCACAAGGTTTGGCATGTCCTGCTTCTTTGTCATTTGATTCTAGTCACTTTTTTGTTTCTTCTGATACCTTCTGTGATTCATTGATTATTCAATACTATCTTGTGTTCCTATCCATTGTTGTTATTTTCTTACTTCATTCCACTATGATCTGATGGAGTATAGAGAATTATTTCAACACAATTTTATTTCTTTTGTATTTATTTAAGCATATGGCCTAAAATATGGTCTATTTTGGAAAAAGTTCAACATACTTCTGAAAAAAAAGTGCATTCTAATGTTCTCGGATAAAACGCTCTGTAAATATTTGTTAAAACCATTTTTTCTTTTTTTTGATGGTGTGGTTTAACAC